TTTTGAACTGCTGTAGCCTCCTGTTCAGGCAGGGAAATTCCTGTTTCCGTTTTACATTTTGACAGTTTGAACTTACAACTGACTTGAGAAACAAACAGAAACATGTTGTTTCAGCCAGATACAAAACGCTGTTTGAAACAGATGTAATTCTTAAATTCACACTTGATTAAAGTTCTGTAATATAAGCTAAGCCATTTCCATCATAATGTTTTCTTTTCCACAGAAATATCAACTGACTTGAAACTCCAGAGACTGCACAGTGAAATCAAGATTTCACTGAAAATTGACAACGCTGTAAGTTTTGCTAATCACTGTCAGATCATTAATGTCATACCTCACACCACATACAAGTCCTCTTTCTCCACTGACAACTTTAGTTTGTCATTCAATGTTTTTTACACTCACAATCAGTGTAACAAACAGTAATTAGATTTTCTCCTTCATGCACTGGACTAACAAAGACAAAGGCTCAGACACAGTGTTTCAGCTCAGTCCATAAAATGCTGCGAAACTGAAAGCAGTATAAAATATAGAGTGATAGTATCCTAAGATGGACTCTGTGACTCCTATTATTTGGTTGTTTACTACTTGTTGAATCACAGATCCTCTCCTTGTTCTTGCAGATTTAGGATTATTTGGGGCTCAGGTCTGTGCATGAGCTTAAAATTATGAACAGACAGAATTATGACAGAAGCTAGTGTCTCACTGTGACATTGCTTAGGTCGCCTCATGGCTGTTTCAGTTAATTCATGACATGATGAATGTATCTGTAACAGTATTAGTGACCCCAGAGTGACGAGACATACAGGGCAACCATTTTGTTTATGTTTTATGATTTTAAAAATGAATTCCCTTTCTTCAATCAGAGCCAAAAACAGATGGTAGTGAAATAGAGTTATGATAATTAGTGACACAAACAAACGGCAAACAACATCAACATTCATCAAGTGATCTAAAACAAAAGTGTTCAGTTTTCTAGTCAGGGATTGTCTGGACCACTGTTTGGCATTCATCCAAAGCTATCTGATACACCCTTTTATGTCCATCATTTTGAAATGGTAAAGCAGCATAATACACTATCTTTACAGCATGATTCAAGGAAAATAAAGGTTGTCCTCAGTTTGTGCAGTCTTCAGAACTTAACCCCATTAGATACAGATTTGAAGGACTGATATATATAGTAGAGAACTGTTTTAAATACACCATGATTAAGTTTGATTATTTGCTGCATTTCTTCACTATTGCTCGACTATTTTATTCCTTTTTTTTAAATTTCTTCTACTTCTAAACTTCTAAGTGCCTATACATCTTTTCTTGCTCCCACATCACTTTTATTCCACGGCCCCTCCTGTCTCAACCTCACTAGGATGTGAAGAAATGCTTGGATGCATTAGATGAGATTGGCGCACTTCAAGTCACAACCCAGCACCTGCAGAAACACAGTGAACTAATCGCCACACTCAAAAAGGTATATTTAATTTAATTAATTCAAATTGAACAACAAACTACACCAGGACGTGTTTCTAAGCACTTTGTTGAGTGGTGATGCAAGGTTGTTTTTTTATTTTTTATCCATATTCCTAGATTCGCAGATTCAAGGCCAGCCAGGACATCATGGACAAGGCCACCATGTTGTATAACAAGTTCAAGAGTATGTTTCTGGTTGGAGAAGGTGACAGTGTGCTCAGCCAGGTGCTCAACAAGTCTTTAGCTGAACAGCGGCAACACGAAGAAGCCAAGAAAGGAGCACTGAAGAGAGTGGAACAAGCCAAGGAAAACAACTCAGGTACTATTGATTATTAGTATTATTATTATTATACTACATTATATTATAATTAGTTTGCCCACGCTGCCTCTTTCAGTTGGCTGGAACATATACAGACAGGAAACTATTCTCTGTGTACAAATTTGATTATTTTATATACAAATGTGTCACACATCGGGACTTTTACGACTACTTGGAAAGTCCAGCATGTAGAATTTTGTGCAGTGGCTGCGAAAAACGTGAAAGCCCTATCTAGAGCCAGTGTTGGTTAATCCATTCTTGGCTACTGTAGAATCATTAAAGCAATCACTCATACATCAATACAACACACAATAAAAACTTCACTTGGAAAGCTTGTGTTGCTTGACTCAATTTAAAAGACAGTTTGGCCTACAGGGACCGGTAGAGGTAGAGTGAACTGTCCGTGTGGGTGCCGATGAAATCCTACTTGTCCAGTCTTCAGCCTAAGGCCTTCACAAGTCATGTTAGAAGATATCTGTGATGTGTCAGATTGACCATGATTACTTCCTCCAGGCAGTATTTGTGGCTGACTGTTATGCCTAGTAAGCACTTAACAGTAAACACGCCTAAGACCTTACCTGACCTTACAGACACATTTAGGTTGGCCTCAAAAAGTATACAGTTTATTCCCTAGCCTACTCCTATTAATTACTATAATGATTGAATGAATTTGTTGAAAAGAGTGGGAACTCTGATAGAGTATATCTGTACACATATCTGTTTCTTTTCGGCTCAACTGCTGATTAAGCATTGTAACGATTATTTTAATTGTTGTGTACAAGTTACAAATGTACAGGAATAGTAAAAGTAAGGAATCTTACTTACACTACGAGCTTCAAAATAGCTCATAACAGCACAGTGAGCTGTTGAAACAGCGACAGTTGGCTAGGTCTGGGGATAAAGTTGCATCATAAGGCTGGTAAATCAATTATGAGCAGCTAAGTCACGTATGAAAACCACCTAGAGAACAGAGACATTGAAGCTCCCAGTCAGTGTCTTTTGTCCTTTCCATGAGGACGTCATAGGATCTCTGTGGTCAACATTCTCAGTAGAAACACTGACTGTAATCGGAAGTCTGCAGCCACATCCTTGCTCTATTGGCTCACCCTCTTTTCTACAGCAAGGCTTGCCAAATGAACGGAAAATCGTATTTATCTGGAGCTCGGCATGTGTCATCACATGCTCCTGTGAGTTCTCTCTGCAGTGGTTTAGGTTTTGTAGTGATGTTCTGCCTCACTGAGTCTGTGTGTCTTTCTGTGCACCGCCTAAAGACAAGATGACAAATGGTGATATCAGCCCCGATGAGAAGAAGCAGGAGACGGAGAGAGAGAAGCTTCTTGAGGACACCTCAGTGGGAGAAAATCATAGGTAGTCTACACATACACAGATAACAGTGAATTGTTGTGTTCCACTTTAATAGTATAAGCACTGGTATACATTTGTTAGACACATCTATTTGACCTTTTCTTTGACTTTCAAAATTTGCCCCTAAAACTGTTTAAAATTATTTTTTTCCAGTAGTTTTGTCTGGGGTTTGGTACTAGTACTCGAGTACTACATGAAAAATGTGTTTCGAATACATTACAGCTGGCTAAGAAACATCAATGAGTGTAAGGCTGCTGTTATGTTACATTTTCCCAATGCTTATCTGTCTCTCAGTACTTCCTTACCGGCTTCCCTACCCTGTTTTGCCCCAAGCCCTTAGACCCCCTTTGAAGTTGTACTAAAGCAGGGGTGTCAACCTGATCCATGAAAGGGCCAGTGTGGCTGCAGGTTTTCATTCCAACCATGCAGCAGCACACCTGACTTGGTTCATTCAATCAACTGAACTGTCTTCACACAGTCATTTCAGGTGTCCTCTTGCTTGATTGGAACAAAAACAGCCACCCTTGATTAAAGCGTGGGTGTGGCTGCAAGTTTTTGACTGTGTGAAGACAGTTCAGTTGATTGAATGAACCAAGTCAGGTGTGCTGCTGCATGGTTGGAATGAAAACCTGCAGCCCCACCGGCCCTTTCACGGATCAGTTTGACACCCCTGTACTAAAGCTTTAAATATTTAAAGTTAACGTTAAAGTATAGTTTGCAAGTGGGCATTGTAGTTTTAAATTGTATTTTTGTTGGGACTATTTCAAGACGCGGACTAATACACATTTGGCACTCTAGAGAGTAGCATTAGGATAGCGTATGTGGGATTGACTCAAGATAAAACGACAGCAACCGTGTTCATTGTACTAAAGGAGTATGGCAACAGTGTGGCTCAATGATGTTTTTAAATTTTTTTGACAACAATGGAGGTCCATGGCACAGAGGAAAGAAGCTACAATACTGTCTTAACCTATTTGTTTATTTTCTTTGACTGTAGTGCCCCAAAAGCTCAGGAAGAGTCCACTTGAGTGTTGTACATGCGTCAAGAAAAGAGAAGATATTTGCTGCTGTACTCATCCAACCTTTCGTCTTAACTGGGCTGACCAACTAGGATCTCCTGTCCAGTTCCTTTTTTATGACTGATAATGATCACTGTTTTCTGGTTTACTGACTATTTCTGTCAGTGTTGCTGCTCAAAGGTTTCAGTACATCAAACCCCTCGACTCCCAAGATAAACTGACTGACTGCATATTTTATTTTTTTACTTTGTGTAATCTTTACCTCTCAGACAGCTTGTGTGTCATCTGTTGAATCTGAATAATGACAGTGTAAGGGTAAGAACTTGTAGATCGGCAGCACTGTAAACTTAGATATTACTATTTGGTCCTATTTTTAAATTTTAGTAGATGGTTTTGATTGTACTCTTTATCATTTCATATGCATTCAGACTGTTTTTTCAAAATCAACAGTTTGATCTTAATTTCACTTAAAGATTGTTTTAAGTAAAGAGGTTTAGTCATAGCATTACCATCTCTAATATTATTGGCTACATTAACATTTGGATGCACAAACAGAAAATTCAGTTTGCCAAAGTTTTTTTTGTGAATTCAACATATTCAAGTGTCTGATTTTTAAAGTTTGTTGTTTTTAACATAGATGTAAATAAGAGTATTTTTTGTGCCTGTCTGAGGACCTGTTTCAGCATCCAATAATAAAGTAGTACATACAGAACAGTATTCGCTTTTGTCTTTAATCATATATTGTGTGAAAATCTCAAACACTATAGCTGTTGTATAGAGCACTTCACAAAGGTCTCCACACTAGTATCCTTACTTGGATTCTCTATTGATGAAGTTTGAAGGTTTTTATTGAACTTTGACTGTTTCATGTTACTTACTGTTGCTTATGTTGCCAGGCAGATGTCAATCAAATCAGATCAATCTTGAGGATGCAGATTGAGAATTGGAATATTAAAATCTTAAATATAACAAAGGACATTTATTTACCTAAACTTTAACTTCAATTTATGTGCATATAGTAATTAACATTTAATGTTCATTGGGAAAATATGTAAAGTGAATGAAACCATGTTTTCAGGGTTAGACAGATTAAAGATCCACAGCCTAGTAATTTTAGCTTGAGTATTTGCTAAGCACTAAAGTGATGAGACTGTTTACTGGGCTATTACATCTCAGTTTTTAATAAATGAATAAGCTTGAACATGAAGAAATTAAGTAAATGTTACCATTTACTTCAAACAAGATAGTCTGTGTAATCAAAACACAAACTTTTACTTTTTGAAAGGAAATATAAAGTTCCCAAATGTCAAAACATTTCTTTCTGAAATATAAAACATTGAACTGTATTATACAGCATTAAATCAGTTATTTGAGCAGTTCCTTTAGTTAAATGCGCCTCGGTCCACATAGGGATAGGCCAGGAAATCTCCCAGCTTGTTGCCTTCAGCATCGTAGTGCAGCATCCGGAAGCACTTGTCACAGAAGAGACACGGGTCGCTTGGAGCAAACTGGTCATTGGTAGTAAACCATCTGGAAAGAGACGGCGATGTTAACACTTGTATTCACAGTTTAAAAAAATGCCAAAGCGGTTTATGCATTGCTGAATTTTACACACCTGCCAATGTAGACGTGGCAAACGGAACACTTCTGTGTGAGGACCCTGTGCTTGTGTGTGAGAAGTGGATACAGCTTCTTGTCCAGGCAGTCGTTCTTATGGGTCAGTCTGTGTATGTGCAACAGAAAGAAAAAGAGAAAAGGACCTAGGCCATTAAGAGTCTGAGTGAGGATAGCAGATTTGCGTCACATTTGCTTTCATGAGCGGTTACCTTGCTCACACCGAAGATAAAGCAGCTCATAGACGCATCTACTATTATGCACTTCCAAGTCCAATGAAATCGAATTAGCTATGAGGTCTTGTGAGAGCAGTCAATCCTGTCCAACAACGAAGTGCTTTATTTCAACGGCTTGTAGTAAAATTAGAGAGATTCAAGAAGTGCTGACAAAAACACATGACATATCAAACCACCGTATATAACCGCATCAAAGTATAACAGTGTAGTTTACTAAAGTAGACGGTGAGGATGAATGAAAGTCAGGATCAACCCTCTTCATGTGTTTTTCAAGCTTTCAAACTAAATTCAAATCTTATAATATTCAACATCTTGAACACATTATGAGATGATTTATTCAACTTTTCAGCCCCATTCATTCTAATTAGACTCTTTCCTACTTATCCAACTAGAAATACCTCATACAAATTAAAGCCAGCAATTCAGTATGGCGTCAGCTTTTCAACAAATCTTCAAATATTCCTCATCTTTCACACAATTGCAAAGCCAGAAACTCAGTTTAACATTAGCCTTTCAGCAGGCAGCATTCACACCTGCAATTTCTTCAGAAATAGCCTTCTCTAGTTTATTTAGTGATTTATTCCACCGGAACTGCAGGAGCTCACTTTACGCTCTGTGCTTATTTTGTGTAACGAATGAGGTATGCCACAATAAAGTTAAAAAACAACAACAACAAAAAAACTGTAAGACCTATAAGGGTGACACACCAATGGCCCATTAAGTCACAGCAATTTTAGAGGGCTACTACTGTACATCGCCTATCAAATAGCCCACATGATATAGTTGTTTCAGAAATGGGATGGTAACTTTCATACTTGGTACACCTTTTAGAAAGAGTGTTGAAAAGAAGCTGGATCCCAGAATTGGCCAGCTGTTGAACAATAATGAGAAAAAACACAGCACTGACCTGACGTCTGTAATGATGACGAGATGTTCGCAGTCTCCCTGATGACAGTAGAGGTACGGGAAGCCCACTTTAACTGTCAAATCCTCGAATCGTGTGTCCTCCATCTTGGCCTGTCTGTAGGGTGGGAAGCTGCAGGCCTTTGTCCATTCTATGGTAGTCCTGTATCATAAACATGCAGAAGGTACATCATAAAAATGTTCTGTCTGTTCATTTAAAAGTTATACAACACATTAAACTGAAGTCAATTTCCAGCTGTCAAGTTACAAAATACACACAAAGATTTCAGAGTGTGAATGGAAGCAGGTCAACTGCAATTTTCTGCCCTAAATATTTCTAACCCAGGTCTCTGCTCTGCTTATGAGCATAATAACTGTATTTAAGTAAATGTCAACATCTTGATCTTGATCTGAACAAGCATCACAAGGAGTCAATTAATATTTTCTCAAACCAAGACGACCCTGGTTCTTCAGTAGTTGATTGCATAATCACTTTGTTGAACTTTTGTCCGTAGAATTCATGGACTGCCCTCCAGTATAAGCCTATAGATAATGCATTATTGCACACAAGCTGTTAACACCTGACACCTGGTAATGCAATTTCTTGAGGCTTCATAGGTTCTGGACTCACTATGTGGATAAGTTTAAAAAGAAAGCCAGGTGTCCCATGTACCGAGGCTGAGTCTTTGCTGCAGCGGCCCAGGGTTTGAATCTTGAATTTGCTGCGTGTCATCCCCTCTCTTTGCCCCCCTTTCCTGTCTGTCTTCAGCTGTCACTTTAAAATAAAGGCAATAAAAGCCAAAAAAATACTTGAAGAAAGAAAGCCACGTAAAAACGTACATGCTGATGTCTTGGCACTCTGGGAATCGCATGTCGTTGTAGAAAACTCCTTCGAAGAAAAAGAAAGCTGATTTGTAATGATCCTGAAACAGAGAACATGAAAAGATTACTAGGTTTTGTGAGTGGGTTTGCAAATGGTGTGCAAATATTGACAGAACCTGCCCTTACCATACCACACAATTGATACTTTTACTATGAAATTCTTAAATTGAGCGATGCAGTCACAGTAAACACACAGACATCGCTTCCTCTAAGTGTGGATACACACTGTGACAAAGTAATTATGTTCAGCTCTTGCAGAGTGCTTGGTCTTTCAGATGAACTGTACTCATGCTTACTTTGCTGATGAAGTCTGGAGCCATATCCGGCGTGTTGCTGAACTCTCCGCACACTTGCAAGTCGCTGACACAGCAGATGGCATCTCTGAGCTCTGCCAAGCTATGGGAGCCCGTCATCAGCAGAGTCATGTGGGGTCTGACGTAGTTGAACTGAGGGGCAATGGAAGGAAAATGTCAGTACCATAGAGGATAACATTTAAGAAAAAACTGCCTGATAAAGAATTGTCAGATTTGGAGGGTTTCTGGCACCCTGGGGGAGGTGAAAGCTCACTTTCTCAGTAATAGCCGGGTAGTAGACGTTGATGGTTAGAATAATCTCTCCTTCTGGGATCATGTCAGCCACTGCTTCTGGTCTCCTACTGAAAGTTAAACGCTCCTGGAAATCACACAGAAAACATTTATTCATAAGCCTACATGACTGTTGAATGTATTGCTCTATTCTAGCTTGGGATCTTACTGACTGACGGCATTTCAGCATTACAACCAATGGACCCACCAGTTCATCTGCATAGAGGTCGTGTCTATTCTTGCTGACCTTCAGAGAAGCTTTGTAATCTTGTCTCTTCTTTCTTTGTCTGTTGAAAACAAATCACACATACACCAAATTTAAATTTGTTTACCTGCTGTTGGTTTATCAAAGACACAATACACATTGTAACACTTGAGGAAGAGTCATACATTAGTGTTTGCAGTGTTGGATCTGGAGGTACAACATCTGTATCCGGCTCCTGATCATCAGGGTGGCAACGGAGTGAATCAAGACTTGAAAAGAAAACATGAAAACAAAGTCATTTACCTAGTTTGCAAACATGGTAAAAAAAAAAAAAAAAAACTTGCAAAAGGAAGCCTTTAACAGACAAATAAACTATTTCCTTTGTTACAACATACTGCAGAATAGTGAGCAGCATAATGCATAAAGGTTGTACTAGGGTCACAGCAGGAGACGCAGAATGCTTTATGTATTTTTCCATTTTATGTTTGTTTCTTTACTTGCTACTATATCCTTGCGAGAAATCTTAAACTTATATACTCCTGCTATCTAGGTGACAATACAAGCAGCATGTTCTGTCTTCATCAGAAGAGGAGGAATATGTTTATAAACCATATCACAACCCTAGTTTCAGCTGTATTAGTATATAAAAGTAAATGTACTTAGTTACAAAACACTCTTGCTTTTACCTCATGCTGGTATTGTCTTTATTATTTATTTAGAATTTCTCTATGGACTATTGTCCTAACTGAAGCGATTGTGCTGCCTTGTACAGATCTCTGTACATGTGTTGTTGGTGCAATACTGGAGGTATTTACAGAGGAACATAAATGTTTCATAAACATTATGCAGAGGGACATGGAAGTGGAAGAGCTTTCCTCATGTTTGCAGTTTAAAAACTATTGCTCTGACTACTACCTGCAGATGGTTTTCAGTGCAGCCAGGGTATCCGCACCGATCCCCATGTCTTTCGCAAATTTAGCGTCAAACGTGTCCTCGTCCTCCTGCTGGAAGGAGTAGTTGCTCGGCTTCAGTCTGTTCAGCCACTCGTTCCTGAAGGAGCCGATGTGAAAGGGTTTGGTGTTAACATCAGTGTATTCGTAATCTGGGATGTTTGCGTTCCGATCTGTCGAGCTCTTGGCCGCCGCCATGTTTTCCTGAACTACGCGGTGCGCGGTGGATCGTGGGTAATGTAGTTTTGCGGCTAGTGGCCACTGATGAGAGAGAAATGAACTTGTTTTAATGAATTGTAGGCTTTTTTCTCGATATGGCTGTTGTTTTAATATGTATATAATGATATGTCCAATATGTATTTCCCTTATTGTTCAGTAAAAACATAAACATACATTGCTAACTCACTCATTTTTCATGATTTTTAGTTTAATCCAAAGACTTGGACACTGCCTTGTGGTAAAAAGAACAGACTAGAATAGTTACAAGTAAGTTATGATCAATGGTTTAAATAATTATTATATTCATTTTCTTGTGATGAATAAGGGGAATAGTAACACAGTTTTGAAATCATGTTCACGTTAACACCAGATATGAGGATTAATACACTAAGAAAAACTAATTGTGACAGGAACACTATTCTGTAGGAAGCAGCGAAAAAGCAAAAAATGAAAAACTATGAATTTCTTTTTTTGCTTTCATATTTGACCAGTCATGAACTGCTCCATTTTCTTAAACCAATCAATCAATTGTAGCCTATTTAAAGTGCAAAATCAACGTGCAACATGTGCTCTTTACTTTAATGGTCCATTGCCTCTTCAGATCCATTTCTATGATGACTGTGCGGGGGGAAAAAGGCAGAAAGAAGCTTCAGAGAGTGTGTGGTGCAGCACCAAAAATGACAAAACCACCGGAAATAATTTGTTAAGCAGGGACATCACATGCATGCATACAGAAATGTTAACCAAATCTAAATTAAAAAAAAACCCATTGTGCTATCAGAGTGGAGTTAAAGATTATTGACGAGGAGCAGCCGGAGGAACCTTGACAACATCATTAATAAGCTGTGGTAATTTGTGATGGTGACGCCTTTCCCTCCTCTGCTTCCCCTGTTCCTTGTTTCTCCCAGGAAAGTAACATTTCTCAAGTACTGCAATTACTGTTAGTAGTGCTTAGAAACTTGTACTAGACCTTTTATGCTACCTTACTCTTATATTTCACTAAGACTTCAGAGGGAAACACTGTAGCCTACTTTTTACTCACCGTTTATCCAACAGCTGAAATTATTATTACTATTAAACTTATAAAATACAGTGAATTGCTACAGATTAAATCAGTGGTTTCAAACCTTTTTGGCTTATAACCCCTTGTCTAGTAAAAAAAAAAAGTTGTCTAGTAAGCAGTTCCAAAGGGAGATTTCACCTCTTTTAAATGGGTTTATTTGAACAACTGTTTGATGTCAAAAGAGGTAGATTTAAAAAAAAAAAAAATACAAAATTGTGCAGTGGAACTCTGTTTTATTTTTAATCTTCCCGACCTCTTTCATCTTCTCATGACCCTGGAGATTTATCTTGTGACCCTTAGGTTGCCACACCTCATCAAGATCCAGAAATTAAATGTTACTTAGGCATTGAAAGTAGATAGATAGATAGATAGATAGATAGATAGATAGATAGATACTTTATTTATCCCGAGGGAAATTCAAGCATCCAGTAGCATACAAGACATACATTAAACATAAATTAGAATTAGAAGAAGAAAAGAAAATTAAAAAAGAAAATTGAAGTTAACAATATAAAATTAAAGTTAACTAAAATAAAATTAAAGTTAACCTAACACAGTAGCCACAGTAAACTGTGCAGATGGAGTGCAAAATGAAGTAGAGATTGTCCATCCTTGACTAAGAGCTGTTGTACAGTTTGATGGCCAGGTGGACGAAAGAATTGAGAAACGAGCTGAGAAACGAAAGAAATTTAACTGCCTAAATAGCCTTGTACTGATACTTTAGCTGATAATACTTCTGGACTTCTAAGGTTTTGAGCGGATACCTGGTTCACCAGTATTCCCAGTTCACCCGTCCTGCGCACAACGTGTCATCAGTCTTGTGATCTGCAGCTGCACCTCATCAGTCTCTCAGTACGGGGTCTCTCTGAGCCTTGTCTTGCATTTTGAAATCTATAAAATTTTCTGACAAGACAATGACCTTCAGGCCATTGAACTGCAATTGTAATTCCATACACATATCCAGTTCATCCATATTATTTAATCAGCCTTGTGATCTTTACGCACATTAATTAGTTGCACCCGCTTGTTTAATCAATACACATTTTATTGCCGAGGCCTAGTTTATTTTTTATACATTTCTTGGAAAAGTTTGTCAGAGTGCAGGAACTGTTAACTTGGAAGGCGAAACCTTTTTTGAGGAGAAAAAAGGCCGTGCCTAAGTGAGCTGCCCCCCCGTTGGGTTGGCCTTGCGAATGTCGGCCACTCCCGGCTCCTTTCCTTATAAAAACGTCGGGAGGCCAAATTGGCGTCTTGTCTGCAAGTGAGGAGAACATTTTGCCGACAGAGGGTGCTGAATCTCTGACAAGGGAAAGGCATCAATTTCCTTACTAATACGTCTTGTTATCTGACTGAAATTCCAAGATCAAATGGAGACGATAGACAATTCTCTACAACAGGTAGGTGATGTTTTGCATTTTCTCCACAGGCGTTTAATCACCAGAATTAGTAGTCCAATTGGAGTATTCCAACAAACTTATTTTATTTATTTCAACTATTTTTAAAGCTGTTTCTTTGTTTTATTTATTTCATCATTCAAATGTAAGATGGAGGAAGAAAGTTAAGTTGTAAAAAGTTGTTCTCCCCTCATGCTCACCTACAAAAAGCCAAACTTGACCTTACTGTGTGTGTAAGGCCTGCTGTGCATTGCTCACAGTACTTATGGAGTACAAGTCTGAATTCAGGACTTTTACTTCTAATTGGTCATTTCTACGTTGCTGCATTGATGCTTTAACCTAAGTAAAAGATCTGAGTGAACCAGTATTGTCATTGGGGCTATAGTGGACCAGCAGACTGTGCTACAGCCCCCAATAAGCTCACAGAGGTCTGATAAACCCATTTGATGCTACTTTAAACCAAAGTCAAGTTAAACTGCTGTCTCAACACTCAGTTGAAGGATCATACGAATCTAGTTTGACTTTAAAAACTAACTTTTTTTTTTCCTCCCCTTTTTCAGGTGGACCTAAGCCCTTCCAGTGAGGATGCATTGTAAGTGAAATCGTGCAGTCTTAGGGTTTTAAGGGATTTGTGCGTGTATTTCAGTGATTGGCACATAATGCAAATGATTAAAAAAAAATATATATATATATATATATATGGTTAAGATTCACAGAAGATCCTACAGAAATGTCCTTTTTATCATTGCAAATATGATGGAATCTAATCTTTTAATGCAATACATACCCACTAGAGGTCAGTAGATATATCTTACTCATACTTTACCACTTACTCTCTTTAATCTCTGCATACATAGCCTTTACTTTAATTAAAACCCCTTGTTTCACAACCTGCTACCGTGTTAGTTTTTCCAGTACTACAAATGTTTACACAACATTAATGACACACTAACAAACTCCTGTCTCAGATACTTGATTATGACTTGATGTCAGATGTATGTATGTATGTCTGTTGGGATGTAGAAGCCTAAATTAATTTGCCAGTCTTTCATTCAGGTCACCTAAAATGGATTTAGAGACTGCATTGAAGGGATGCTCCACCGCCCTCGGTTTTTTTCTGAACAACAGGTTTGCTGATGCGTTGGCTCTCTTAAAACCCTGGTGAGTCACCGAAACTGCAAAAAACTAAAAATCCCTACTTTTCTAATAATAATAATAATAATAATAATAATAATAATAATAATAATTATATTATTGTATTCTTTACTTTGCCACTTGGTATATGTATTCCTTTTTTAAATGTTTTGTCCCCCTCAGGAGAAATCAGAGCATGTACCATGCGATGGGCTACAGCAGCATCTTGCTGATGCAGGCAGGCATGACCTTTGACCCACATGACATTGATGCTGCCATGGCATCATTGAGGGAATCCCTGCAGACATGCCAAAGGTTTCAACAATGTCATAAACCTGTTAGAACATTCAAGTCTTATATTGTGCACGGATAGCATCACCTTGAGATAAAGAGTTGAGAGACAGTCCTGCTGAATTGTCTTTGTAAAACTGTGTGTGTGTGTGTGTGTGTGTGTGTGTGTGTGTGTGTGTGTGTGTGTTAGATTTCGGAAGAAAACTGGAATAGTGCAGACTTTAACCAGCCTATGGTATAGACAACCAGTTGAGGACCTGACAGAAGGTACGAGATGAGCTCCCACTGTCTCCAGACTGTACACCTTTAGTGAATATGCATACTTGATCCTATATGACATGATCACAATGTTACATAATATGAAGCTAAAAAGTGATTTGGATGGCAGATTAAGCAATGACAAGTCACAGCACAAAAAACAAGTTCAGTTATGGTATATACCGCATTTCTTTAGTGCTATGGGCTAATGCAAATATTCTGTTTAGAATTTGTGGTATTATTCTCCTACAAGCTTTTACACCCATTACTGTTACTCTGGGGCACTGATCACACTTTAACACACTTTGGGAAATTGCAGTTTGGTGCGGCCTATAACATTATTGTCTGCAAACTTTTAACAGAAGAGATGCATGCAGAGCTGTGCTACGCTGAAGTTCTCCTGCAGAAAGCATTTCTCACGTTCCTGGATGAGAGTATAATTGGCTTCATCAAAGGAGGGATGAAAATCCGAAATAGTTATCAGATTTACAAGTAAGCTCTGCTTTTGCTGGGGATGTAATACTATAACCAGATATTAAGAAAACATAAATAAACATAATCATATTTTTAGATCTTTTGTTTTAATGATCTGTCTCCTGAAACAGGGATTGCCAGGCATTGGCAAATGTCACAAAAGACACTGAAAAGCAGAAGAGCACACACATTCATTTCAGGGGCGGTGTCAACATGGGAATTGGATCATTTAATCTGGTGAGAGCTATAGAAATCATTGCAGGCATACAGTAGGCCTTTATAAAAATGTATTTAGCCATGTTGTATGTCTTTCCACTTCTACTATAGATGTGTGTGGTAGCCTTTGAAAATAAAATAAAGGCTACTGAAATGTCTGAATCATACTTACCAACTTTTCCCTATTTTATTACCAGATGCTGTCTCTGCTTCCATCCAGAGTCCTCAGACTGATGGAGTTTCTGGGCTTCTCAGGAGACAGGGTAGCTGGCATCAGTAAATATGTAAAGATGAAGTTTCTTTTCTTTCAGTAAAACTCATAATATACTGATTTGCTAATGATCTTCCAGGAAGTGGGTTTGTCAGAGTTGAGAGAGGGAGCAGCCAGCAACAGCCTGCGTTCTATCCTCAGCACCCTGACTCTGCTGATGTTTCATCTCTACATTACAGTCATTCTGGGTGAGAGCACGGCTCAATTTCATCCCAGCATTTAAATCCCTCATTCATTTGTAGATAAACAGCAATTTATTGTTTTTATTTTGTGATGTTTAAAGTTATGGGACTCATTTTCTTCCCTCAGGTACTGGTGAGGGAAACCTCACTGAAGCTGAAGCTTTGCTGGAGCCCTACAAGGAAAAGTTCCCTAATGTGAGCAGTGTTTTTTGCCAATCCTAATGGATGGGAAATGTCACTATTTCATTGCCCTCTTTAGTGAAGTAATTTGTTTGTATCTTCTGTCCATAGGGAGCCCTAATTCTCTTCTACACTGCAAGAATTGCTTTGCTCAAAGGAAACATCACCTTTGTGAGTACTAGAATAGGACTACAGTGGTCCATTGTTGCTTTTAAAATACAATATCAACTCATAGTAGTTGATGTAGTAAAAGAATGAGTCTGTTTCTCTGCAGGCCCAGGAGAAGTTCCTGGCATGTATCGCAGCACAGGAAGAGTGGCGTCAGATTCACCACCTGTGTTCCTGGGAGCTGATGTGGGCCTACTCCTTCGAACTAAATTGGAGGGAGGCGTATCGATACGCCGACATACTCTGCAAAGAGAGCAAGTGGTCGCAGGTACTTAATGTAACCTCTTCTCTTTTTGCTCTGATGCAAAAGCTTTTCCTCTTATAACAAGCTAATTGCTCTTCTCTTCTAGGCTGTCTATGTGTTCCAGAAAGCTGCCATCCTGAGCATGCTACCAGAGGAAGAAGTGACTGAACTGGGAGAAGATGTTGTGGAGTTATTCAGGTGTGCTAGAGAGAACGGATATTTGTGCATACAGTTCAGTTGTGTAATCATTATATAGTAACTTTGAAAAGTGGTTTGCAGGCAGGTGGATGGTCTCAGACTGAGGATTGCTGGGAAGTCTATTCCAACAGAGAAGTTTGCAGCAAAGAAGGCTCAGCGATACTCTTCTTCTAACCCTGTGAAACTAGCCGTCCCTGCTTTGGTGAGGACTTTTGAACGCTTATACTTTCAATGAATGAACATTGTTAAGTACAAAACAAATATCTCTTTTCTACAGGAAATGCTGTACGTATGGAATGGTTTCACAGTAGTCGGCAAAAGACCTGATTTGACAGAAAGCATATTGACCATATTGGAGAAAGCAGAGGAGCAGCTCAGAGATGATCCAGGTGAGAGAAACAACAGAACTTTGAAGCACTGACCAATATGTTTTTGTGTTTTCACACCAACCTGACACTAACAGCATTTCATTTAATGGGTAGACCCATCAGAGTATCACGTGGATGACCAGTGTGTTGTCCAGCTGCTGAAAGGCCTGTGTTTAAGACAGCTGGGACGTCTGGTCCAGGCTGAGTCCTGCTTCAATCATGTCATTTCCAGGTGCGGCCATCTTAACACACTAATCGTATTAAACATTTTCCTAGATATTATCGTTTATATGGCCTTTAGAAGCATAAATGGTAAATATAAAATTGATAGTAAAATCTGAAAAATATTATAAATAAATATACATTGAGTATTATTTAAATGAGAGGGCTGTACAGTTTTAGGTATTGACCATACACCTCATCTTGATGGGATGCAGAAAAAATATAGACTCTACCTTTGTGTGGTCTTGAGACTTTTTTTTAATACTACTAAAGAGACTCTCTGGTGACTTTACTTTAATACTTTTTGCAGAGAAAAGGAGATCAAGCATGACAACTACCTGGTGCCATATACCATGTATGAGCTGGGCCTGTTGCACAAACAAAAAGGTGACGTCAACGCCGCCATCACTGTGATAGAAAATGCAAAGTAAGTGTTTTTAGTCAAGCCACATTCCCGGGTTACATTTTGGTTCCATGTTTGAATTAAATTTTTTTAATTGATGTCTTCCTTTTTTAAGTCGAGGCAGAAATTGAAAAGTGAAATTAATTGCAAAATGCAAAAATTGTAGCTTCCTGTTCAAACGCCATATTACACAATGAGCTAATACGTCATCTTATTTGTAGGATGAACTACAAAGACTACAACATGGAGTCGAGGCTGCACTTTCGCATCCATGCAGCGCTCAACACCATGGGCTCTTTTTCAGCCAAACTTCCCCCTTCACGTACACCAGCTTGAAAGACCTCATGCAGGAAGCTCAACAAAAATCAGAGTGCTAAACTTGTCTCGCAACCCTGTTTGCTGCCTTCAGCTCTGACCATACATGAAATCCTTCAGATGGGCATCTTGCTGTTGGCCACTTGATAATTGTATACATGTATAGCAGCTCTGAGTTGCAGCCCTGGTGTGGTTTTGTACTAATTCTGAAATTATTATTTTTTTCGGGGGGAAAAGAGCAAGAACAGTGAAGTAGACAGACTGTGCAGGTAACTTGGTATGAATGACTTGAAAATTACTTTATTTCATTTGATATTAAAACAATGTACATTTTTTATTTTATTTTTTAGATGTATATCAAAACAATTTTTTTGTAAATAACTGTTTGTATACCCTTTTATTCTGTGCGCTATGAATGCTGTCTGCTTTGGTCAGTGGTACTAACTGAATAAATGTTATGACTCAAATGATGCCCTATATTTATTTAATTGTGACGCAAAATGTAAAGCATATGATGTTAGTGTATTAGTATTATGTTTGATCACTCAATGTAAAGGTCCAGTGTGCAACATTAAGGGAAATGTAATATTTAATATAACTTAATATTCATAGTTATGTTTTCACTATTGTATATCCCCTGAATCATTTTGGTTATCTTAGAATGAGCTATTGTGTATAGACCCCGCAGACGGCCAACACGTACTTGGAAAGGGAGAGTGAAGCAGGTGAGTTGCAATCTGCAATTACACCACTAGACGCCAGTAAATCCCATACACTGGTCCTTTTTAAAATACCCTTTGATCAAATATATATTTTTCAACAGTTTTCTCAAACTCATCAGTACTGCATGACTAATCGGTGACGTTGCCAGTGTACCTGATTAGTTCTTCCATCTCTGGTTGAAGGTGTGCACCTCGTTGAAATTGCATAGTGTGGTATTAGGTCGGGATAGACACCCGAGGTCTGTTCCAAGGAGCATGTTTCTCAGCTATCTGGATAAATATTGAGGAAATATTTTTACAGTCCCTGTTACAGATTTAGAGGGATCTAGGTTTTATGCTGCAGTGATCCAGATAAACATTCTTCTTGGAACAGGCCCCTGCAGCCTAGTCACTCCAATCAAAACAACACCTGTAACAACAATGTGCTGCTAGATCTATGTGGGACTACGCAGCAACCACAAAACTTAAGTGATAGTACATTTTGGAAAGAAATATTATACTTTTTACCACAGTTATTAGTTACTTTCAGATGATGATTTTACATAAAAGATTATACTATTAATTAATATTAAACTTAAATATTAAACCAGTGGTACCCAACTCTTTTTGGCTTGTGACCACCTTTTCCCTGTCTTGTTTGGGCCCCTTATCACATTCTTGAGTTGTTAGCAGGTCCACCAAATTGATTTCCCCTCTAAACTCTTAAAATGGTTCAATTTAAATGACTATTCAAGGTACAAAGTAATAAACCTAAACAATATTTCACAAAGACAATACTGTATGTTTAATTAGGATTTAGAGTTAAGGACTTTTACTTGTATTGGAGTATTTTTTACATTGCTGCTGTACTGGTACCTTTTACTTGAGTAAACAATCAGAGGATTCCTCCACCAATGGCCATTAATATGATTTTTTTCCCATTTATTTAAAACAATGAAACCCAAACACAATATGATAGACTAAATTGATTTACACACTTTGGACATTCACCTGCTATAGAAGCTACAGATACAATACATTTTGAAAATACACATTAAATGAGACTAGAACCCAAAAAATACAAGAAATAATAAAAATAAAAATAAAAATAAAAAGAATAATTTTGTAAACTATATATAGATGTGATTGATATGGAACATTGCACAGGTTGCAGCAGGAGGTAGTTGTAGAAATAAATATAATTGCGCAGGACAAAAAATATATACAGCAGTGTAATTTAAAGGAAATCTAGACTATAAATATAGGGCTATGAATATACAGTACATGTATAACATAATCTTAATGTGTGTGTGTGTGTGTGTGTGTGTGTGTGTGTGTATAAGAAATTATATAATTGCACAGTACAGGTATGCAAAAAAAAGGTGTCTGTGATAAGTGTTTTGTCTGCTGATGTTACAGAGACAAAAAAAAAAAAAAAACCAGTGCTAACATATGTATGTACAACAAGGAGAGGAAAAATAGACTTAGAAAGTCCCACAAACCCACAGAAAAGCAGAAGGATTTTAATCTCAGACCGGGCTGTCAGTGCTGGTGACCACGTGTTTTGTGAGATGATCAGCTGACTCTGCTGGAGGAGGAAGAGGAATGAAGATGGAAGGGAACAGGGACGAAGCTGAAAAATGTATAAATATAGCGACGAAAGCCCTCGAAGCAGGAGATAAAGAGAAAGCGGTGAAGTTTCTCAACAAAGCAGAGAAGCTGTACCCAACCGGCAAAGCCAAAGGTAAGGCCGTTCGTGGTTGACTTCTGTGTTTTAGCCGGCCAGGGCTAACCTAGCGAAGGGTTAGCTAGTGGCTGACGTTTGTTAACATCACCTATACGGTTTAAGCTCACAGCAGGTCATCTGTTGACTGTTGTATAACGACTGAAAACACGTTTATGATTAGTTAGGGAGCAGTAGTCAAGAGTAAACTGTGGGTCAAACACAGGATAATTAAGCAACACACATCCGAGTCAGCGTTGGCTGAGCTGTGGGCCTAGAGTTGTGTTAGCTAACCTTGCTAGCGCTTCGCTGTGGTGTAACTAAGTTGTCGGTGAATCGGGGATATAACGTTACAGTGTAATGTTAAGTGGATATTTGTTAGCCATCAGTGACCGATTATAAAGCCTCAGGATACGAATAACATATAAGCCCATTATTCATTCAGTAGTTAATGATAGGTGTCAATCATTATCATTTCCTGAAAGACTAGCTAGTTGACTTTTAAAGCATTTTATTTATTTTTTTTTCGGTTCGCTGTAATTTTACTTTGACTTCAAATAGTAGTAGACTTCAGCCAGCGTTGTTATTGCCGGTGAGGACAGGACAGGACAGGAGAAGTGATGCCAGGAGAGAGATGTAGCGTTAGTTCTTTCTAGTCCAATCCTTTTAATTAAATGATTTACCTGGAGACTATAGGCTAATCCAGGATACTCCACTGTCTGTTAGGCGGCTGTAAACAGGTGTTAAGGATGGGACTGACATACATCTTTTGGATCCTAATTCTCAAAGGCTGTTTCATATTCACTATTGGGAGTGAGTGTGTAATAGGACAGATAAGCTTGCACATTGATGACAAGTAGCTCATCAGTTGTTTAGTATTAACAATTCAATAATTTAGTATTACTTGAAGTACACGCTACTGATAATACTTCTGTATGTTTAAGTCGGATTTTGAATTAAGGACTAGATTGCTGCTGTACTTTAATTCTAACAGGCTGTTCAATATTCAGTATTGTGAGTGAATGTGTAATAGGACAGATAAGCTTGCACATTGATTACAAGTAGCTCCTCGGTTGTTAAACTGTAGCTTGTCAGTGGAAAAGGAATTTAGTCAGATCTCCAGCAGTGTCTCTTGTCTGCTTAATTATGTGCCTGCTCAGGTTTAGCTGCATTTGTGTGTATGGAAAGCGCTAAATGACATTTCCCACCAGATAGAGAACTGGCTTGCCTTGGCCAGACCTTGAAAAAAGTACACACCACACAAAAGGCCACTAGTTCTCATTTAAGATAAGCTAACCACTTTTCGGTTATTTGAACAAATCGATCAAGGGTTTTTACTATCCACATTCACACCACAGGATATATTTTGAAAAGTAGTGAGAAGCATCACAGGAATGTTCATTAAAAATGTCCTAAACAAAATGCCCCAAAACAAAAGGCTTTAAGCAAAAGAGAGGTGTTTAAGACTTTTAACAATTTGCCAAAGAAGGTGGGTTATTTCTGTAGGAGGAGTTGAAATAAATGTCTTATTATACAGGAAATATAATAATAAGTGTGTATTGAAGGGAGCAGGGTAGTAAAGGGACTCCATTTTGAGGCTCTGGCAAGATTAGAGATCCCAATCCTGTTGTGTGAAGAAGGTCTTTCTGAGCCTGTGTGTGCTGGTGTGAGACAGGATATGAGCAGGAGGAGTTTGTAACTGTTAACAATACAACATACAGACTGGCCTTTCTATTGTAAAGGATATATACTGATAAGGAAAACACTCTTTGAAGTCCAAGCTATACTGAGCAAGTAAATAAGCCATGAAAATAGTACGAGGAAAACAAGAGCTGAACATTATCACCAGGTCCTTCTGTACCTCGTCTGAGTGCCTTTGCAGTTGTGCTGTCTGGGACTTAAAAGTCAGTGAGCCTCTGAATCTACAGTTGTGAGATGTCTCCCCATTCCTGCAGAGGCCATGACATGTGCACAGGTCTGGCACTGAGGAGTAGGAAGTGTGTCACATAACCTAATGTTGTAATCCATAGCAGCACACATAAATGGTTGACAGAAGAAGGAAGACCAAGGTAGCACCTGTACACTGTAAAGCATTCCTCACAGCAGCCACGTGGGGGGTTGTGCCTGTATCACAAAGCCTGTACATATTTGAGAGTACTGTGTTTGAGTTATCTGGCATCAGTAAGCTGGTTATATACTCACTCAGTAAACCCAGCATTTTTCAGTCTGCTGTGAATGTGTTGACATCAAAGAGGGAAGATTGTAATAAGTTGTCAGTATAATAATATATCAAAGTACAGCGCAAACAGGAGTGAATTTGATTATTAATATTAAACAATTGATCACTATGGGACAATGAGGTCTCAAAAATATACGGTTCAATATGGGAAGAGCTGTAAAATGTAAGTACACAGCGAGCATACAAAGCAGAACGCAAAAAACATGACATTGTTGCCTTTTCTCAACATGTTAAGTAGCGCCTAATGCTATGGAAAAGAGGGATTATAGTTGTGCAAGAGAGGCACAAGTTGTGTGCTTATGTTACATGAGAACAAACTGTCTAATTATGAATAATGCATTAATAAACAATAAGGAACATTATAACAGTTAAAAGCATATCGATATGATCAGGCAGCTCTGCTGTTGCTGTACTGTCTTTCAGTATGTATTTTTGCATCACTAACCATATTTCCTACATGGCCTGAATGAGATCTTTAGAGTACTGGAGGGGCCCTACACCTCAATTAGTGTAAATGACTAAATAGAAAGTGTTGAAGACAAGAAATTGTGCTCTCTGTCACACACTGAATAAAATACAGGGGGCACATTTCAAGTTTGCATTCTTTATGGCTTGAAAGTCGTATCACTACCTGTCATTAGGGCACAGTGAGCATATTTTGTATTTATGCATTTTGTTTTTAAATTGGATTGAATCATGGTCTTAAAATCCAAAATTGTTGTGTTTTCAGTGGTAGACAAACCATCTGATTGCTCTTCGAGTCTCATGTTACCCAAATGTTAAAACGCTATCATCTTAATTGACGATTCTTTACTTAAGGAAGTTGTTAAAAGCTTGGACAATTTTAAGATACTGAAGGGAATAATTTGTCATGTAATTAATCTTTAGCTTCTTCCTCTCGCCTTCAGCTTTGTTGGACGCATTAACGAAGAATGGGAGCTCGGCGGGTAACGGTGCATATCGTAGGCGACCAGCAGAAAGCTCAGAAAGCAGCGGCGCCCAGCCAGAAAGGGAAAGCCAAGAGTCTGGAGGAACCGATTCGTCCAAAGGCTTCACCAAAGAGCAGGTGGAAGGTGTGCAGAGGTGAGGTTTTTAGTATTCACTACGTCTGCCCTTTCATGCTGTATTTCTTTTTCAACAAGTTGGTACTGTAGTTTGGCCCACTTCAGTTTGCTATTTTGGGGCTTTCATACAGTTTGGCCCCGTGACAGCAGTAGTGTTTCTATCATTTTTGGTTAGACCTTTTATCTTTGGCTGCAGTGTTGTGCACACACAGCTATTGCCATGGGAATCTCTTCAGCTTGGTGTTATGCCCATGAGGGGGGAAAAAGTGCGAGACATTAAGCGGCGTGAACTAGATACTAGATACCAGGTAGCCACTACATGCTCCAATTTTAGACCACAGAGAGAGAGAGAGGTAGGTAGGTGGTGCATTTTATTCACAGCATACAACCTCCATTTAGATCATAGAAAGTTGCAGATTGCAAGTTCATTTATAGGATAAACATGCTTGCCATTATGCAATCCTACCAGTACATTGCACGATCTCTCTATTCCCTGAAGTTTTTTTTACTTAATCCTTATGGGAGGCTTCAGTGGGTAAAGTAAGACCAATTGTGCCCTATGTTTATATTAAAATGTCTCCCATGTGATCTAATCAGGAGTCTTTCTTTAGTCATGATTCAGTGACGGGTAGACTGGGCGATAACTCTTTTGACGTTGAGTATATTGTGAATTTTTCTTTTGATCATATCATTAGTGTTTAATAAAATTATTTTTCTTTTTTCCCTTGGAATAATGTGTTAGAAATAAGATATCCGGCATACAGTCTTCGGTCTCTCACTGGGTCTTGCTAATTGCATTAGTAGAACATACACATGGCAGGAGGCTTAGTTAGTAGTACATTTTTTAAGCTTAGTATGATCTGTGTGGATATAGAAACCACGGTGGATGTAAAGATTGGTAAGCTTAGCTATGAACTGATTTTCTCTGGGGGATATTGTTGAATCATCATTTGTGTGACTTAAGGCCAGGACCATCAACATGTTACTTTCACTAAGCATGGATGTGCCTGGTTCAGAAGGTGACAGGAAAAGAAAATCTAACACTAAAAGTAGCCAATGACCAAAATCCCCTGGATTGTTTTCGGCTGTTTCACTCTGTCCCTGTCTTTCAGAATAAAGCGGTGTAAGGACTACTATGAAGTGCTGGGTGTCAGTAAAGAAGTCGGTGAGGACGAGCTAAAGAAAGCCTACAGGAAACTAGCGCTCAAGTTCCATCCAGACAAAAATCACGCACCTGGAGCAACAGAGGCCTTTAAGAGTAATTTAACTCAATTATGATCCTTTAATGATCCGTCCTAAGCTATTTGAAATGTAGATTGCATGTGATGTACTAATCCTGTATGTAATGCAAAGATTGAATATGTAAGCAGAAGTGGTTTTAACACCTAGAAAAAACTGTGTGAAATGGTTTATGTCCATAGCCTTTCCTCCCTCTTTGATCAACTGTGTCCTCCTTCAGAGATTGGTAATGCATATGCAGTGCTGAGCAACCCAGACAAAAGACGGCAGTATGACCTGACAGGAGGGGAGGAGCCGAGCAGCCCGGGTCACTCACACGGAGGAGGCTTTGACTTCCACAGGGGCTTTGAGGCTGACATCACTCCTGAGGACCTCTTCAACATGTTCTTTGGAGGTGGCTTCCCCTCGTGTAAGTATGCATATGGCTTTTAACAACACATTAAAGTTCAATGCTACTGATAAGTTTACATCACTCATCACTTCCTATTTAAATTTGATTTGTGTTTTTGTCCAAATATATTGTCACATGTTGTCTCACATCAATTTAATAGTCAACAATCTTGTTTAATTTAAGAGTGTTTAAGTGAGAAACGTAACCACGTTATCATGGCTTTTTGGTGATCCTCAGATAATGACATATTTCTCTTTATATATATATACAATCACTTTTATGGGTTCAGTCCATAGACATTGTGTGGTAGAAAGACTTCAAATGTACCTGAATGTGTCTCTAAATTATGCCACTGCTCTTTTAACTAAAACATAATGTAAAACAGCAGGAAAATAGTTCTAAATAATGAACTTTGAGAGTAGGTGTAACTGGTGACGTATTCCATAACTGTATCTGACCTTAGTCAATATTTTTGTCTCCAGCAAGTACACACACCTTCACTAACAGCAGAACGAGCTACAGCCATCAGACGGATTTCCGACAAGAGAGAACAGAAGAAAGGGGAGATGTATGTGGATGGGTTCTGATTTTATAACTTTTATTTAACAGTTTATTTGCACATATGTACATTATAATTTGAATGTATTGCACCTATGGTAAATACATGCTTTGACTGTACATTGTCACATAGGCGTGTGCTGAAAATGAAGTACTCATTGTACTGTTTTTGTCTCTAGGGTGGTTTCTCCATGTTCATCCAGCTGATGCCCATCGTGGTCCTGATTTTAGTGTCAATACTGAGCCAGATGATGGTGTCCCCTCCACCCTACAGCCTCTACTCTAGACCGTACGTACACATTTTTTTTCCATTGCTGAGGAAAACTTGTTCCTTGCAACTACTAGGTAGCTAATTGCACTTTTTGTATGTCACATTTACTTCAGATCTGTGGAACTGATTACAACATGTCATGTTATGACTGGTTACCTGTCAAAGAGGCTGGTTGACGTCTCGAAAGTATTTTGTATACCTTCTACCTTTTTGTACTATGAAATGTTGCCACAAATCCTGGTTACTCAGCAAACCTTGTGCCATGCATTGTTTGTATTTGTCTTTATCTTCTTTCACATTTGTATTCACTGACAATCTTTTCACAGTCAATTGCAATGTGAGTTTTAAGGATACTATAAAATACCTTCCGGATTCAACATATTTTAGTAAATTACTACAGTTTTCAGCATTTTCTCAACAGCTTGTACCTCTTCCATCTCTTCCAGGTCCACAGGTCAGACCGTAAAACGGCAGACAGAAAACTTGCATGTCGACTACTACGTCACTAGAGATTTTAAGTCGGAGTTCAAGGGCTCAGCGCTGCATCAGATTGAGAAAAATGTGGAGGAGGACTATGTATCTAATGTCAGAAATAACTGTTGGAAGGAGAGACAGACAAGTGAGTAATAATACACCCTCAGAACTAGCTTACTGGATTCAATTATAGTTTCTGCTTTGCACCTTTTTTTCCTGAACGCTTCTTTTATCAGTAACATTGTTTTTCTATTCATCTCATCCAGAAACAGACCTGCTGTATGCTGCTAAGGTATACAGGGACGACCGAATGCGCAAGAAGGCAGAACTCATGACCATGGATAACTGCAGGGAGCTGGACAGACTAAATAACTTATTCAGGGGCGGATGAGTTGAACACTTCTAGATCATGTAAATGTATATGAATAGACGTGTATGTTCATGTTTTTTTAAGGAAGAGTCTTTACACTAGGAGCAAAAAAAACTTACTGAAATAATTTAGCTCTATTGTTGAAGTTTTAAAATGTCCCTCTCCTCCATATTCCCCCCGCCAACTCCTCTCCTTCCTCACTCCAGCCTGACCCCAGGAACCGCCTTGTTACGTCTTAATGAACCAATCTACATACACTGTAGAAAGCCCCAGATCTTTTCTTTTTTTTACTCTGCTTTTCATGTTTCCTGAAAACAAGAAGGACAAGGACACTTTCGATTGTAAAGGCATGTGCTTCGAGTAGTGAGAACCCCAAGAGGCAATCTGCACAAGCAAATCACTGTCTTAAGATCAACAAACGGCTTCCGGCATCATCTGCTTGACATAAATATAGGATGGGAGACTTTGTAGGTTCATCTGGAGGTGCTGTCCTCCACCCAAATCCATTTCTTGAGAAGAACACAGGAACAAAAGATGGAAATATAATAAAACATAATGTGTCTTTTAGCTTCCTACTCACCTTTCAGGTGAGTGTGTCCAACAATGGATTATAAGGGGAGGTGTGATTTTGCTACTAGAGAACATTTTATGTTGAGCACTTCAAAATGTGAAGTTGGTTGGGACTAAACATGGAAGGACGTTGAAACTGTTATTCATAAATGGTTGTACATTTTCATTTTTGAATGTTTGAAGTTTATGCAGTTATTTAAGTAAATATAGAAGAAACCCAGTATTTCTTCAATGCTCGCCGAATCATTTAAATAAAGTAAAATTATTACCATAAGGATGCATTTGTGTCTTTGATTCAGATGTTGAAGGTTTCAGCTCACTGAAATTACAAACAAACAAACACATTTACTCTTTTACATCTAATGGGATGTAGCCATGCATACAGTTTTAGTTTTATTCCTCACCTTTTGTCATTTCTGAGATTTCTGTTGCCACTCCAATACAGTGCAGGTGAATGTAAAGTTGTTGTAAACAGTTGAAAACTAACTCTATTTGAGTTTGGTAAACCGCCTTGTGTCAATGGTCAACAGACATGCGATTATGATGCGTTTCAGTCAGTTGAAATTGCGTCTCCTAGCAACGCAGAATCTTGAGATGCCAGTCAACCACTGCCATGGAAACAGTACACCTACAGGTATGAAGCTTCTACAATGGACACAACGTAACAATACAAACGTTTTCTTCAATTGTGTCCAAAAAACGATTTAATCTTTTGAAAATGTAAAAAAAAATGTTTATGCTTAAAATATGTTTCTAGATTGTTGAGAATACATACAGACATATGATGCTGAAGAATATTTATAGCACATTTTACAGGCAGTGAAATGCCTTCAGAAATGTCAGGATATATAATGTATCATTTAACCACTTTCAGAGCCAATATTGAAACTACATGTTACAGATATAGAGAGGGACAGAAAAAGAGTCAACAGACTGGTTGTAGCCCTGTCTGTTGCATATATTCTCTAAACTATACTGCTGTAGATATTTTTGCCCTGTGCAATTATTTATTTTTACACCATGCTACTACCTCCTGCTGTTGCCTGTGCAATGTTCCATATCAATCACATCTGTATATAAAAAGCTGTATATAGTGTACATATAACTCTTATTCTGTTTTTTCAATTTTAATTAGGTCTTGTATTTTGCTATTCTATTTTTTATGTGCATTTTCCCTAACTGTTGTGTTGTATCTGGAGCTGCTGTAGCGAGTGAATTTCCCCAGTGTGGGATCAATAAAGTCTTATCTTATGTTACCTTAGATAGGCCTTAGAATGGTCTTACCACGAAAAAGCATATTCATGTTTTACTTTTCATGATCAGATTAACCCACCAAAGAGAGTTGTGGAGCAAAACTGAAATACATGCCTTCAGAGATGAGCGCAGCCCTCTTTACACGTGTTGTAGTTGAACCAAAATACAGTGTGCACCATTGGGGGAAGAAGTTATCAAGTTCTAAAGTAGAAACACTACAGTGTAAACTATACTCCATTAAAGGCAGAGGCAGAATATTTTAAAAGTTAAATTATTTAAGGTACATTATACAGAATGTACCATCTCATAATGTTATATTATTATGTATATTGTGTTGTTATTTTATTGTTTCTTGTGTCCTATCCTGTAAACAATGTTGCAGCTGATCTGGGTAGAGACAACACAACAGGGACCCTCATAGAGGCCACAGGTAGCTTCTATGGGGCTCCTTTCATGAGATATATATGACATTTTAATATCAGTGACATATAATCTCATTTATATTAGAAGCAATTCTAAAATATTAAGATATGTAAAAATGTATCTGTATACTAAACTCAGTTTCGGGACTGATGAGGATGATCTTGGGAATCTGTGCCATTTGCCTTGCACTGTGGGTAATGGAGGCTGGAGGTGAGCTGTAGAGCAATGTTAAATAAATTACTGAATTTTACTGTTCTGACCTACAATAAAAACAGATTTGTTTTAATTGCTAAAATGCATTAATACAGCATTTTGTATAGCACTAAAATTCATATTTCAACCATTTTTGACAAGAGGATAGTGGACAAACTTTCAGGTGGCAAACAATAGCATCATATAAGATCAAAATACATTAAAAGATAATCAGGCAGGGAGGACAATAGATAATAGACAATGGACAATTTCTACCTCCATTTGCACTGTTTTACTTCCATTTGCACTCCACTCCATTTGCAGTTTACTGTAGCTACTGTTAATTATATATATATAATATTTTATCTTTTATCTTTTATTTTATCTTTAATTCTATTCTTAAGGTTAGGGTTTTTAATTTTAGTTCAATGTATGTTCAATGTCTGTTCAATGTATGTAATGTATGTAATATATGTTTTGTATTTTGTATGCAACTGGATACTTGAATTTCCCTCGGGATAAATAAAGTATCTATCTATCTATCTATCTATCTATCTATCTATCTATCTATCTATCTATCTATCTATCTATCTATCTAGATTACTGACGCGTTGCAATTTATGACATCATCTCCATTGGTTTGTCAGCGGTCACGTGACAGCGCCAGACCCGGAAACGATATAAACATCTTCGGCTCGCGCCTCCTATGTGTCTTATTTAGTGAAATGAAAACAGACAGAAGTGAAACCTGAGATGCCATCAAGACAACACGTTGAGGAATAAATTAAACCTTCATTAAAGCAAGCCGCCGGGAACCGCTGGTCTCTGGCTCTGACGTGAAGCGGCACTATGCACTACAGCAGCTACATCTGGGCTTTCCTGTTGGGGTTGTACTCTGGTGGAGGTCTCCCGTCCGCGTCTGCCTGCAAACATGAGCCAGAGACTCCGGACTGGAGGATGACTTTGAAGACTATCCGCAACGGAATACACAAGATTGACACATACCTGAATGCAGCCCTGGACCTGTTCGGTGGCGATGACGGGCTGTGTCATTACAGGTGTAGTGATGGTAAGCTGTCTGTCTTCTTTCAAGACCTTTTCTCAAAGTGAACAACTGAATTAGTTTTACACATTTGTAACTAATAACTTTTAATGGTGGCTGTGTTTCATTGGGCCCTTGTATCATGCATGCTGGCCTATTGGAGGACTTTATTCACACCTTGGCTTTTATTTGCAATGTCAAGTCACAGATAGACAGTGGAGGACAAGACAACATTAATGAATGTTGAGTTTATGCAACACTTGGGAGACATAAGATATACATTATCGCCCCTTGAGTGGCACAGTAAGCCATTAAATGGTCTGTACTGATGTGGTTATCTGTGACAGCAAGATAACTGACTGTACCTGACTGGCAGAACAAGAAACCTCTTCACCTTTGCTCCTCTCTCACAGGTTACAAGCCGGTGCCTCGTCCGGGGTACAAGCAGCCACCACCCAACGGATGTGGCTCCCCGCTGTTTGGATTTCAGGTAGTCTGTCAGAGTCTGGAGGTTTCGTACATGTCTGGGACAAGCAAAATTGGTCCCCGTGTGATTCCTGATGTACACAGCAACCCAAACATTATTCCTGTACATTAAATTTTACATAATATTTTAAGCTTTATAGATTAAAGAATAGATTTTTTTTTTGGTTTTGATAAATTCCAAACCCCAAATGAATGAGTGGAGAAACATTACAAATGCAGATGCTTTCATACAGGACACAAGGGGTCATTTAATGGTTTGATGAGAATGAAAAGGATGTGAATCACCTATAGGTGGCTTTTACTGTTAAATTGAGGGGAAAACATGTTTAGTCCACATTAAAAAAAGGAGAAAAAATAGAGCTTAGGGAATAACTCGTCTCATTGAAGAGATATATTGGTGTCAGCATGTATGTTGATGCGTAAGTAACAAGAAATTGCAGTACAGACATGCCAAATATATGTTTTAAGGTAATTTACATTACATTGTCTAAATTCCATAGACTGTCCATACAGAGGTACCACTTTGTGTGTATTTTGTGCACAATTCTTTATAACCGTATGTATGCTCTTTTTTATTGTGTGTTAAGTCAATGTGTTGTTACCACATTTTGTTACTCAGATATTGATATTGGTATTGGGCTTAAAGGATAACTTTAGAATATTTCAACCTGGACCTTATTTTTAAAATGTTTGTGTCAAGAACGTTTAATTCTTCCGTAGTGTCCTTTCAGTAACTATCTGAGCTGGTCAGTGACAAAAACAAGCACTTTTAATGGACATATTTTGACAGGATTACCTTGTAGCCTCTTTTGCAGCTGCAGCGCGCTCTGTCAGTACTGGACAAAATTCCAAACGTGTCCCCATTACTCACTTTGACACAAAACATGGTAAAATAAGGTCCAGGTTGAAAAATACCAACATTACCCTTTTGAGTATCCAGTATCAGTTGGGCTTTGATAAACAATACTAAAAGATACGTAATACTAAACGCATTTTATTCACATGTGATTGAGTTATGTTTCATTTACAGTATCATAGGTATACATATTTAGTTGTAAAACCAGTGTTGTTCTTTTTGTCATTGCTTTTTTTCCCGATGTTATTAACTACTGATTACTAAACCGCTGTCACATCTTTTGCATTTTGGGGAAACTCTTGTCTCCTAGAGGCAGTATCATTTGAATGTCATTCCAAAATACATAACAAAGAGTGACAAACCTGTTTTTTTCCAGTTTGACATAGGCATCCCGTCGATGACTAAATGTTGTAACCAGCATGACCGCTGTTATGACACATGCGGCCGCGAGAAGCACGACTGCGATGAGCAGTTCCAGGACTGTCTCGAGACCATTTGCAGGAATGTGCAAAGGACTCTGGGATTGGCCCACAGTGTGAAAGGTAAGAGGTTGAACCAACGTGTTCAAATTAGATACAGGATGAGGTCGGTTACCAGAATTAGGTCATGGTTTTTGTAGATCATCATACACGTTGTCAAGCTCTGTTTGGCAGTGAATTTATGAAGCATTGCATGCCAAGCCTGAAAAATCCTGTAGAAACATAAAATGAACCTCTTTGGTTTTTTAAGTAGTATGTGGGTTTGGAGAATAAGTAGCATTTATCAACGAAATCTAAAAAGTGACCAATAATGGAAAAATCTAAAACATGTTGACATGTCACAGTAGGAAAAACGCAGGTGTAAATAATATGAATATGATAGCTGAATTCCATTGAGCTGCTTCAGTTTTAAGGTCCGGGGTGCAACTGAGAATGCAGTCTACTTAAACTTTGGTGGACTATGGCACACTTTTAGCAAGGGGAGGAGCTATGCTTCAGTGGTAGAAATTAATAAAAATGTACATTTACATCTGATTTAATGAACAAATGCATTTCTGCTGCAATGCTTGTGCAGGCATGTTGTGTAACTTTCATGTTTATCGTTGAACTACAGCAGAAATGCATTTGTTCATTTTATGAGTAGAAACTGTTGTAAAACATAGTAAGACCAGCAGAGGGCAAGATAGAGCTGATTTTTAAATACTAAATCTGGATATCTGCTTCAGTGTGATGCTATTCTTAAGTACTTAACCACAATATTAAGCTTCACATTGAATGTCTTGTGTTTATTTGTGTTTTCTTTTGTCTTTTTACATCTTGGGACTTAATTAAGATCACTTTAACATGTTATCCTTTGGTTTTTTCTTGTTTCTTCTCCTGGGTCTGACAATCTAATCCTAGAAATATAAATCAATCATCAGTCATCCAATCAAACTCCTCCTGTCATAAGTGAAATTTGAATATCGGTATGGTTTTGATCTTGGTCAAGTTTTGAAAACGTGTCATGTTACAGTAACATGATCGCTGTTTTTTAACGGACTCACATTTCCTCTGTTGTGTATTTCCTCATGTTCATCTTCTTGTTCTTTCTGTCCTTCTTTGCAGCTTGTGAGTCGGCAGTAACTCTGCTGTTTGACGCCGTTATGCACTTGGGGTGTAAGCCATACCTGGACAGCCAGAGAGATTCTTGTGTGTGTCAGTATGAAATGAAGAGGGAACTGTGACATCGCCACAGGATCACAACTGTGGAAGGACTGATTCAAAAGCACAACACTAACAGAAGGATGCCAACAATAAACTTTTCTTTTGTCACACTCGTAGATTTTCTCAGGGATAGAGCTTCTTTGGCATCCATTAGACAAAGTGAATGTAATAATAGCTAGTTTTTAGAGTGGATGAATAGTATCTTTCTCATGCAATTAAATATTTATATTTTGTTAATACTGTGTAATGTGTCTGTCCTGCAGTGGACTGGAAACAGGGTGTTCAGGGTTTCCCTGGCTTTTGGATGCTTTGGTTGCACCCGACACTTTATTTTATGGGTTTGTAAATTACTAAAAGGTGTTTGTGGTGTAAAAAAAATATGTAATTTAGCACTGTTCAATTGGTACTCTTCCAAGTGATTCATTACAATTAAATGGTAAACTAGATAAACCAGGAGCTTTTTATTTAGTAAGCAGCGGGACAGCTGAACATTTGAAAATACAAAATGTGTCCAGAAGCAAATATTATATGATTACTAATGTTTCTATAACAAGTAATCAATAATAATGAATAAATATGTACTTGGGTGTAAATGGAGCTCTTCTTTCAAGGCAGCTCCTCTTGAAATCAGCAACTACTTCTAAACTCAGCACAACCTAAAGTCTCAGAAAAGCACCAAATGTATTTTTATATAGGAAACTTTTAAGAAATTATTAGTAAATAATGGACTGTGAAATATTACATTACTGGCCTGTCCTTCCTCCCATAACCCTAATAGGAATATCTGATAAGTAAGTCAACAGTGTCTGTTTTTACGGCATCTTAGCCTAAACGTTTTTTCTTTTATAAAATTTGTAAAAACAAATAGTAAGATATCATATTGAGGTAAATGCACTGGTTAACTCAAATGTGATAACACTAATGAAAACCTGTGTTAAACTGCCATAAAAATAAAGAAACTTGCTTTTATTGATAATTCTGTGTGTCATTTTTGTAGAAATGTATGTATCCTGTAAGCAGCATTTTTTAACAGAGTGGAGTCTAGTGACCACTCACTGTAAAACCAGGTAAGTTCTTTAAACTGAACAAAATGATTGAAACTGATTACATCAAGATTTTTAAGCAACAGAAACTCAATTTTTTTGATAAAAAATATTCTTATTTAAGCTGTAATTTGAAGTGACACTAAGTTTTGTTTCCAAAGTACAAATAAAAATTATAAAATGAAATTCATTCTTATTCTCAATTAAAATTACTAAAGTTACTTAACCTACAAAATTGAGTGTGTTTGACTTAAAAATCTTGATGTAGTCAGTTTCAACAATTTTTCTTTAGTTAAATGAACTTATTTGGTTTTACAGTGCTGAAGATATTTGTTGATCCTTCATCCAAAAGATGAAACATAAACTTTTCTATTACGTTGTCGAAGTTAAAGTCGTAAAATGAAATAAAGTCTGTATTAGATATTAAGCTCTCCTCATCTTCGACCCTGCCCACCCTAATCTCACTTTTATTGTTCACGATTTATTGAATCTCCTGTTTTATGAGTGGCTGTTGTAATATGACAAAAACGGACATCCTGGTGGTTGACCTTTGACTGAAAGACGCGAGAGCCAATCGTGTTCTCCGATTGTCACACTCAGCCAATGAGATCGATGGGGAGGAGCCAAGCCCTATGGGTGTTGTATTGACGAAGCAAATTCATTTTCCTTTCAGTAGTAGCAGTCGGAGATAAGCCGTGAACATGTCTGACAGATGTGGAGGTAACAACTTTTATTATTTATGAATGTTTTTCATTTTTAGTAGACATATGTTGTGGACGCCTGCGTACGGCGTTTAACACGTTGAAAAGATAAATGGAAAGACGTTTAATTTCCGATGTAACTTCAGTATCATCAGTGAGGCTGTTTACTACTATGTTCTTACACAAAGGCTGTAACTCCTTTACTCTAAGTCTTCTTTCTCTTCAGTCAGCCACCAAGTTAGTACAAGGTGGGGGATGTTTTTAATGTCATTAAACTGTTTTCAATGCTAGGACTGAATTGCTCTTTCTCTCGCCTTCCCAGGAAGTGTTGCTAAAGACAGCAGGACAGACACAGACAGAGCGGGTGAGTGCTTTACACTAACTTACATATGGTGTTTAAAAGCGTGTGCACTGTTTAAGTTTCTCGTTCATTTTCTAGTAGGACATGGTAAGAGGTTTGCCCTCATTAAAGCAAAAGTGAAACATAGTTAGCATTGGTACCAAAAAGCCAAAGTGCAGCCAGTTCAAATATGAGATTAATCATCAACCAAAACTGATTATGATTATGACTCATCATATCATATAGGCAGGATGTGATTTTTTTTATATTCCCTGTCTTCCGTTGTCATTTAGAAACTGATTCAGCAGGAACCTATATATGTGCTTTTATGGGGGGAATAAAAACTAATAAAAGCATGAACGATGAGACAGCCCAGCTGGCTAAATAGTTTTATCTTGATCCAGTATTAATTGCATGTTTATTAGGTTTGCCAAGATAAAACAAGTGCAGTTTAATATAACATCAGTGGTGTAAATTCTCCTCTTAAAAAGGCTATATTGTTCAGTTTGTACTGAAGCCGTTTACAGAGGTGTTGAATTAATTGCATGGTCAGTTATGAGGCTGTGTTTGTGGTGATGTTGAGTACTAAATATCAGAAACACCTCTCAGTGCACAGCATCCAAAATGGCTGTTAAGTTGAATATATATATACACACCTCTTTAAACTATTTTAGCAGAAACTGAACATTATGTTATGTTTATTAGACTGCACTAGTTTTAGCTAGGTGTACCTAATAATCTGGCAACTGAGGGGGAAAAAAAAGCCACACAGGCAAAGACATGTCGACACCCTGAGCGGCTGCCTTTAACACACACATCTGCATATCTGTAGGGTGGGGTATGGAGGTGTCACTTTTGCCCTCTGTTCTTTTAGCAGCCTTTGCCATCTTTCTCCACCTGTCACTCAGCTATTGAAAGCTACGAGAACTCTGAGCTGATAGAACAATGGCTGCTTGACCCCCATACCAGCAGCAGTGGAGCAATTCATGCACCTGTAGTTGTGCTGCTTAACAAAGAAGCAAAAGCCTGAAAAGCTCAATCCTCCTGTGTATTTCTGGCAACTTCAATCGCATATTCAGAGTATTTGTTATATTTAAAGTGGCTGTAAAGTCATGTGCATTATTGTTAAGTAATTGTATTCTACATCGTTGCGTGGTTTATTCATGTATGTGTTGTTTTCTATAGCATGTACGGAGAACCTAACAGAGACTGATGCCTTCATCAGAAGGTAAACTGTTTCTTCTTGTTTGTGCGTTTCGATCTGCTGGAAATTCTCACAATCCTCTGGTCCAGTATCCTCCCCAAAATACTGTCTTTGTGTGTTCTTTTTCATTATGAAACAGCTCTTTAGCTTTGGATCCTGCAGAGGAGTACAAGATGGACAACAAGCGACGAGGCCTCGCACTCATCTTTAACCAGGAGCGTTTCTTCTGGCGCATGGGGTTGAATGACAGGCATGGAACCAATGCTGACCGTTACAACTTGGAGAGAAGGTATAAGTCCCAGCCAGCTACCAGAGAGGGAAATCTGTAACTGTGTGATTAAGAACTTGTCTGAACTTGTTTAGCGACTGAAACTCTTTCTCTTTTAGACTGGCAGAGCTAAACTTCGAAGTGAGGGCTTATGATAACTACAAACAGGTGGAAGTCTTAGACAAAATCAGTGAAGGTAAGCTCACGCGTGATCACGTATGACACATTAAAATGCATGGACGCAGGAGGTTGGGGTATTGAGGGACCTGCAGCACCCCCTAAAATAAGACATAGTAAAAGTAATCAGTTAATAAAAAAAGTTTAAACTCCTTTTCTCCTTTTTACTGGGATATTCAGGCAAGATAACTGTGTCAGATCCAACACATAATATGCTGGGGTACGGGCCACTTTTACTTGTTCATTGGGGAGTTTAACAAATACCTGCTCTCCCACCAGCCGCAGAAGAAGACCATTCAGGCGCAGACTGCTTTCTGCTCGTATTCCTGAGCCACGGTGAGAATGATCACGTTTACACCTACGATGGAAAGATCAGCATTCAGGATATCACATCGCTGTTCAAAGGAGACAAGTGCAACAGCCTTGTGGGAAAACCAAAGATCTTTATATTACAGGTACGTTCAAACAGAACTCAGATCTCAAATCCAGTACTAAAATTTTTTTTTCAATGCTTTACTTGGAAACCCTTAGCTCTTAAAAATGCAGTCAACGTGAACATAGCTATGTCCATCACTCACTAGGCATGCCGCGGAGACAAGCATGACAATCCAGTGACTGCCTGTGATGCTGTGGACAGTGAGCTGAAGACAAATCAGGTGGTGGTGGACGCCAGCGCCGTACACACCCTCCCCGCTGGTGCTGATTTCATCATGTGCTACTCTGTGGCTGAAGGTGAGCTGGCTGGGATGTTTAAAAGTCTGCATGATGGGTAGATTCTCCCATTTGATTCGGTTGATATTTTGAAGATGTTGCAGTAATCCTACATAGAAACTAGAGTCACCTTTCGCAGTTTAATGACTAACTATCCTGTCACCCTGTGTTGTTTGTTAAGGTTACTATTCCCACCGCGAGACCATAAACGGTTCCTGGTATGTCCAGGATCTGTGTGAGCTGCTTCGGCATTATGGGGACTCCCTTGAATTCACAGAATTACTCACGCTGGTCAACAGGAAAGTGTCGATGAGGAGTGTTGGGAACAGTAATGACCGGAGTGCCATTGGGAAGAAGCAAGTACCTTGCTTTGCTTCAATGCTCACCAAGAAACTCTACTTTCGACCAAAGAAGCAGTAGTTTCAAACCTGAGTCATAAAAATCAGCTGGTTTCATATTAATGACATTTTTTTTAGTCTTCTACTGTATGTTGATTATGAACACTATTATTCACATATGCAATGGACAATCATTAAATTGGCAGCCTTAGTATTCACAGTACTAAAATAGCAGTAATAATAAGAGCAAAAGATATCTTGGCTGGGTAAGACCTGGTTTATGAAGAATCAAGGCAGGTAATGTATCTCTGGCAGCAAGTAGAGGAAAAGGATCTGATTACAGACCAGCTGCTACGAAACAGGTTACGACATCTGATTACTGGTTTCTCACAATAATCTGGGTTATTGTGTGAATGCACACATAGTAGACATTACAAGGCAATCTAATACAACAGCCCTGCAGTAATTCAAAGTTAGACCAGTATATTGGAGGGCCTATATTCGCTCATCACGGCTACATGTATGCATTAACAGATACTGGTAAGCAGGTAAAAGCATTTCACATGTCTTATAGACTGTCTGTTGGTCATAATAGTCAGAACAGCGCAGAGTTTACAGAGTACTGTAGGTGGGCCACAAACAAAACTAACATAAAGAAAGTTGATATACAAGCCTGTAACTTGAATTTTTTTCTGATTTGCAATAGAAATCTTAACTCAAAATCAAGGTTGATTTTTGAGGCAATAATGTTGCATTGAATTGCATTGGGTTTTCAGGTGTTCCTGTTATGTTGTCCACTCCCGATAGACCATAACACATTTTGCACTTTCAAGAAATTGATTTTAAAACTGCAGAATAATTATGGACCACATTTTTCTCTACTTGTCTTTGCCCTTTGTCACATTTTTGCTTTCTTGTTTAATCAGATTTAAACTACTATGGTACCACACGTTACCCTACCCCACAGCTGACTTTTTTTTCTTAACAAACCAGAATGACAGTAGAAACCTCTGGTGGTCTTTTTTAACTAAACATAGTCTATTAGGAAACTGGAAATGTAAGGTGAATCTGGTTTTCTTGACTGTAAAGTCAGTTGCAGGAATGTCTACAAGCTAGACAAATACTTTCCAGCTTACTGTATCTTGCGAGGCGGGTAACACAACACCACAACAATCAGGTACTTCTAATGATTTCCTTTACATCAGGGTTTAATACTTAATCATGTCTCTGTAAGCACCAATGATCAAGTAATATCTCTCATAACAGATCATCCAGGCACCACATAAACCTGCTGTTTGTCTTCAAGCTTGCTCCATCAAAAAGGGAATTCATGTTTGTGCTGTTCTTCGTGTTGTAGCAGTTTACAGTACTACATTTTAATAATGCGTATTTGCACCCAAAATGGCAACAAACACCAGTGTGGGAAGTACCTCAGGGAGGAAGGGTGTTTTTTTTTAAAGCTGTACTGTGGACAGAAAACACTTCTGTGTCACATGATCTACAACTCAGGAAAAACAAATCTACCAGCAGACATTGATCCTGTGTTTTTGTGGCCTTACTGTTGTGACTTTGTATAATAAAATCTGTGTGACATATCAGCGACTGTTTTACTCCCCAAAGTGATTATGATTTTATAAGGCTTTTATTTTTTTATGTGGCAATAAGTGTATTCAAGGGATGTCTTTATTTCACTTGTGCCCTGAAGTTGTTTACAAATCTCCATCCTCTGAAATAATCCAGGGTTATTAGGTGTCTACCAGCAGTGAGTACAATCACAACACATTTGAGATTTCAATAATGAGACATCAGGCAGACAGGAGATTCTCCCAGTTTTTGGGAAATACTTTTTATTTCAATAGTAGCTGTGTCTGTATGTTTCTCAAAGATATAATTGGCATCATTATCAAGAATGTAAACAAAACACAGAATGATATGGATTCCTAGTAAAAAGGTGCCATTATCAAAATAAAGCAGAAAATTGTTTTTGCTCTGGAGGCTGCAAGTGTTAGTGACTATTATTCGTGACTTGGCTTCGTTCATGGCTTTGGCTGGATCTGTTCGAGTGGTAGCTGAAGCTGAGTTGGGTCTCTTAGACGTCTCAGATCCTCCTCCACCTGATACACAGAAAACAGCAGTCATACAGACCCAGTGATTAATTCAGGGAGATCTCCAGAAGGCAGTGGATTACAATTATTCCAGTGTCTTGAAACATTGAGTGTAAGAGTGCATTTCTCTTAAACAACTGCCATTTCATTTGAACTTGCTTTTAGTCCTGCAAGCAGTGTTACTTTGGTGATCCTCGGACTTTCCCTCTAGCGCCACAATGAGGAACACAATATTAATTATTGGATGAATAGTCTTAAAATTCCTGGCCTTGGGCATTCACTTAATTCCTGAAAGTCATGTCATGTACACTTCCTTGTAGAAAACAGATATCTTGGCTGGGTAAGACCTGGTTTATGCATGACAGAATTTATTATATATCTTGAGAAAAAAATCAAAAGCTTTCAAAATATTTCCATGTATAACACTATCTTTAATTTTTTCTCTTACATTTTTAGTATGGAAATAGTGGAATTGTAGCACATGCATAGTTTACGCTATTCTTCCTACATTTTTACGTGTCCAAAACGTGTTACAGAGGTAGCGTGTGGCTACAGATTTAGCTAATGTGAGATTTTAAAAAGTGATGCAGTCAACCAACCTGAGACAGTTCTTCCTTCAGTTCATTGTATTTTGTCACGTTGAATTTCTTCCTGCTGACCCCCTTATAAAAGTAATGCAGGAACTGTCTGTCTTTAACGTCTGGGTATACATAATCCTGAGGGAAAGAATAAAGTAGGATTGCTATTAATGTGGGGAGGAAAAACATATCTGCATTCATTTTGTGGAAATGCACTAATTTACTTTGATGATGAGAGTTAGATCACTGTTGTATTTATCTATTACATTTGAAACCACAGCCAGCAGCTAGCTAGGCAGTTAGCTTAGAATACAGACTGGAAACGGGGGAAGTCTGCAGTTATGGTAGGGTTAGGGTTAGGGTTAGGGTTAGGGTTGCAGTGTGGCACAGTGACTTCCTGGAGTCTTGTCGTCACGGTGATGTCATTCAGACCGAACCAGACTAGTTGTTTCCAGTCTTTATGCTAAGCTAAGCTAACTGCTGCTGGCTGTAGTTTCCATTTTAATGGACAGTGGTATCGATATTCTAACATCTAACTCTTGGCAAAAAAGTGAAGTATTTCCCAAAATGTCAAACTATTCATTTATATTAAAATCCACAACAGGAAGAGAACAAAGTTATTGTCTTGTGTCCCTGAGACTTGCCTGTTTGGTAAGGACATAATAGGCGAAGGCTCCAATGCTGGTGGCGTAGGTAATGAAGTAAGTGACAGGCTCTATGACGTCCCATGAATAGACCCACCAGGTGAGCCAGGCCAGAGCACCACCCTGCACAGATAACAAGGCCATGCCGGTCCAGACAACCCTGGAGGTGTGGAAGTTTGCTGTCTGGGACAGCTGTGCTTTCATCTGTCAGGCAGTAAAGGAGGGATGGGTTACCAGCCATTTCATATAACCATGTCCAACAAAACTAACAGGTCAGAGATGCCATCTGTCGCTTTCAAAACAGTACTAAAACAGACTATCACTGGGATGTAACAAGGGAGAAAGAGAGGTTTAATGGCATACAGATGTTGAGACATATCTACTACCTTCTCCAGAGGTGACAGCTCCTGTTTGAGGCTGTCCAGTCTCTCCAGCAGGTGCCTCTCTTTCAGCAGGTGGTGTTCAGGCAGGTGGAGCGCTGTGTGCAGCAGATGCACAACATGCTTCATGTCCTCCAGCTCCATGGCGTGCTCACTGGACGTACACACTGCAGCAGAGGACACAACAAGGTGGATGTGGATGAGAAAATTAGATGAAATGTGAGATGAGTCCTGCCTGGAGAGATAATAACTGTTATTTATCAGCAGGCCTACGTTGTAATTGCAAAGCAGACAAAATGAAGACCATTTATGACTGAACGATGGAAGGAAATGTTGTTTGTACCCTTTTCAGGAGAGAAGACATTATAAACTGCATCATTGATGACGAGCTGGAAGTCCTTGTCCAGCAGAGTGTCTATCAGCGTGGTGTTGGCTACGCGCTCTCCATCTGTCAGAAGAGGACAAAGGTCCGAATCCGTACTTTTACTGCAATAACTTCAACTTTATAGCCCAGCAAAAAAACACAAAAATATACATAATGAAATACTAGACTGGTGTATGCACACCTGCATACACCACATAAACTTCAGATAAATATTGCTTGAGAGGGAGTTAACCAAGTTCATCATTGCAAAACAATAGTTCTTGTCAAGGAATGAGACACATGGGGAAAAATAAAGAAGACTCCAATGTACCTCAGTTCTACAAAGTCTATTTCCTGAAATTAGCTAAATCTACCAGTCAACCTGCCTCAGTTTCGAGCGGCACTGTGCCTGTATGTGTTGCATTTGCATTGTAGTTGGACAAAAAACAAGTTTTTCCAGTCAGGGAAAGTGAGTCGCACTCCTTATTTACATTTCAGGAGCGTTGCATTATGGACCAACAAGGATAGCTAAAATACTGAGATATTTCAACATTTACAGTTAGCCACAACACCACCAACAGCAGTGGTTCCCAACCTGGAGTCCCAAGATAGATCAGGCGGTTCCCAACAAGATTAAAGGGAAGAGAAAGAAAATTATATATTTTTGTTACAGAAAGATATCTTTATTTTTTTTATACTTTTCTGAAATATTTGCTTTTTTGGTGAAATACTGAATACAAATTCAAATCTATGTAAGAAAAATCCCTCATGGTTGACTACCTCATAACTCACGTCCAGACTAAATGCATACTGCTCCTTTTCAAAGCCTGCCGCATTTATTACCCACAATGCAACCTGACTGCTGACAGTTTGGTCGGAGATTCGGGTGTGTTATGCTAGTAATGGCTAATGCGGCCTCGAGCCACCTTGCCTCAAGCAGAGATGAGTAGCGAGCTACCGACGTCTGGTAAACTCACTTGTAGTCTTCAGACCCAACTGACGCTGTCTGAAGACTTGAAGCAATTTATCAGACTCCACACAGCTCCCTTTTGAAGCCACAAATAGCTTTATACAACTTTTTGTTGTAGTTCACCTTTAACTTGTGTTGAATGGTCACAAGTAGACATTGCTTCATTTTAAGGTTTCACAAGCAAGAACAATTGGGAAACACTGACCAATTGTAATAAGAAATAATCACAGTTATTGGAAATGCAAGATACATTTCCCATAACTGTATTGAGGTTAAAATAAAAAGACAATTAATAACGTATCTCTCTATTATTCAAAGCTGATTAACCTTTTAAAACCTTTAGGGTGAATTTTAAAGCAATCTAGCAACAGTGGTGAAAGTAATGGTTCATGGTCTGGAAATGACATTCTGCGGGCATTGTGCCAAATACCTGCAACAGACAACCTGCCAAACCAGGTAGCAACAAAAATGATTAAACCCGCCTGACTAAACTTCAAGAATGTGATCGGCCTGGTGTGAGCATAGCTATCACATGTCGTGTCCTACCCTTGGAGAAAATGGAAGCAGTAGCTCCTGGGTCCTCTTTCTGCAGATCTGTGATCAGGTCTCCTACACTCATCAGCATGGGTCTGAGGAAGAACAGGCACTTCTCATTCCTGGAGGGCAACGGCACCTCCATAACCAAACGGCCATATTTGTACTTCAAGGACACATCTGCAACACAACAGGGGGGGGAATCTGTTTCATGCTATGTATCTTGTGTGCAAATCATCCAGTCACACAGACATATTTAATTTGTTAAAATGTTGTTTCCTTTACCCAGCAGGAGTGATTGTAAAGTCACAAACATGGGGGCAGCCATGCGACATACAGCAATATAGTTTCATGTGCATGCAGTAACTGTATATTACCACTGGAGGTTGGGAGAGTACTGTAGAAAAGAGCTTGGCAATTTCCAAGTAGAGGCGGTCTCTGTTGAACCTGAAAAAGAAAAGAAAGGAAAGAAAGAAAGAAAGAAGAGCATTACCAGTTGATTCAGTTTTTTTAAACTCATAGTACATCCCTCCTAAATATTATAGAAAGCTTTTGGAATATGGAGGGAATAAAACTGTTGCTGCCCTTTAACTTGTCTGGGAGAGAGATCTGGGTATAACATTTAATTACCAATGTCATAAAAGTGTTGTATGTTTGTATTCTGCACAAAGATTATATATTAGCAGACTATAAGTTGCTATCTACTTTTCCGGAATCACTGAACTTTCATAAATTTTTTCAGGACTGTATTGTACTCCTTGACAAAGGTCTTGTAAGCAAGCCACTCTATATCAGGTTGAACCCTCTCGTTTCTGTGTTGGGTAGGGTGGGAATGGAGACAGTTTGAAAGTGAATGTATCAAATGTCATTTATACACTGATCTGCATACTGCCAAATCAAAACCGCAAGTCATAAAAAAGTGCATCCCTCCCTTGGTAAACTGTCACATCAGCTGACATTGGAGAGTAAACAGAGCTTCCTGAAACGAAGGATCTGAGAAAAGCTCCACTCAAAAACAGGTTGCCAACAAACCACATCAATTGAGTTTTCAGAGCTTTGCTCTGAGAGTGCTTTTGCTTGTTTTCCTTTTTCTACTATAGCAATTACTGGCTTTTGAACTGCTTTTCACTCCCTTTCTAACTGGTGTGTAATCTGACCATCCGATACGCAGTACAGATTCTTGATAAAACCAGCTTCTTTTCGCTGATGCACAGCTTTTCATTTAGTTAATTAAATTTTAGGCTGCAGCCTTTAATGTTTAATGTAATGCCAGTGTGTCTAAATTAAAACGTACTATCACTCTGCAAGGCCTCAGGTCTCTCCCACACTCCTGATAATAGAGAGGGCATCCACAAAGAACATCTCATTATTCTAGTCAGCAGGAGCACGTCTGTCTGTACTTGACATTCTTTGGCAGTTTACATGCAAACTCATATTTCTACTCAATATTTAAAGCCACTGGGGTGTGCTACAAAGCATTTATTGCATGAAGCCATAAACACAAAGAACTTTACCGTGGACAGTCAGTAAAAAATATCAAACCAAACCAACACAAATGTACTAAATGTAATTGTAACAACAGCATTAATAACAATTATTATTTCCTCTACTAAAAGCACTAGTTGCCTGGGGTTCGAACACAGCATTTTGAACCTCAAGAACAGGTTCCTCCGCAGTATTTCCCATTTAGCTGAGACTCAAAAGGGTCCCACTTGAATACATCTTTCCTTAACTGACATCTAAGGTTGTGGCAGCCCCTCTCTCCCACCGCTTTGTCCTCCAACTGGGAGTTTGTTCAATCAATATCACATTAAAGAGAAACAAGGGAGCCGTCTTTTTCTACAGGCAGAGAAGGCAAACAAGTGTTGAGGCACAGTGATGGAGCAGAGGCCAGATGTGCAGGAGTCCCTTACACTCTACTGTTTAGGCGATGGGGCTTTAACAGGAAAAACAACATTCACATGCAACAATGAGTAACTGTCCACAAGACCAGAGGCTTATTTTCTGTGGTGACATGAACCATGAAGGCAACAACCTAAAATGCACTACAGTAGCTAGAACCAAGGGGAGAAAAAGACAGACACATTTAAAGGCTTGAAAAAGTTATTGTTATCTGGAGATCACATACAAAGTTTGTTGGCTTGCTAATGAAACTGTGCACCACACTGTGACGAAAAACACAATTTTATAAACACTCTGTGTCCCAAAAAGATAAAATAAAGTGATCCCAATGCGACCAGATTTAGCTGTTCAGCTTGTGTGAGATCTCCAGATGTTATTATACAGCTGAAAGCTGTCACAGAGCTTTACCACCTAAACATCAGTACACCGACTCTTCTTGGACATGGGAAAACGTGTTTTTAAGGGGTTTGTATGTATTCATTAACACTAGTGACACAAGCCATCCAAATGCATATAATCACACAAGCGCCACCATGCTTGTGTGATCCAGTGTAGATAGACAGATAGATAGATAGATAGATAGATAGACAGATAGATAGATAGATAGATAGATAGATAGATAGATAGATAGATAGATAGATAGATAGATAGACTTTATTAATCCCCAGAGGGAAATTGGGTCGTCATAGAAGCCAGGTACATTAAAATACAATAAAATACAATAGAATAAAAATCATGAGTTACCAAGAGTTGCTGAAAAGATTGTTTTATGTTTGACACATACAGTGCAGTATAAAGCAGGTAATATGGATAAAATCCCCAATCCCTCTATATGTATCATATGTGTTTTATATTTTGATATAATACATTTTCAAGAAAGTCCATTAAGAAACCATTTCTAACTATTTTCTGACCAGTAGAGCCAGGGGGTCACAACATAAATCTGAGAGGTGAAAGGATGATTATACAAATACAAATATGTATTTTTCTTAAATAAAATATTATTTCAGACTTTTCTTTATTAAAGGCTTCTAAAAATAAAAAAAACAATCCAAGAAGGAACAACCACAGCTCATAATTCACATCCACACTGCGGCCATAACCTGTAACAATCTATTGCAGAAATGGAATACATATAATTTATTTATAATTGTGTTTTCATTAGTGTGTGATCACCTGGAAATAAGAATCGTTATGCTTTTTACCATAGAAAGAGCCATTTTTTATCTACAGAGGGACAAATCAAACCCTGGCTCTAGATAGGCCTTTTGTAGTTTCTTCTAAACGCTTGGAAGGCAGGAAGTTACTCAGTTGGTTGTAATCTGCAACTTCACTGCTAGATGGCACTAGTTTCTACATACTGGTCCTTCAAGGGGCCGTAAGACAAAAAGGCTGGGAACCACTGGTCAACAACAGGAGAAGATTAAAGGGATAGCTGCCACGGTATGAATGGTATAGATATATAGTATCTTTGACTGTTTACAAATTTGTAATATCTCACCGTACCGGTTTACATAACCACGCTGTCCCTGAAAGAGTCTGCTTACTCTATGACTCCTCATAGTTAACCTCAGACAGCGAACACATTTCCAGTGTGTTAAACAGCCTGGAACAGCATTTTATAAGCCACCCCTTCTGCCGCAGCCATCACGCTTCATTAAACTGAGTGGTGTGGCCGCTGACTGCCAACACATACATCGGCTGCATGTGAAGAAAATGCCTACGCCATGTCCCTCTCATTAGCAAACACTTCATGTCAGAGAAGTTTAAAAACATTTGAGCTCACATTGCACATCGGCGCCCTGCTTATGTGAAAAGAGCAGATCTGGAGCGAAGCATCAAGGGCGAGGCTAGACTATTTGTCTCTTTACTGAGTGGGTGTGTGCATGTGCAAGATCATTGACCAGAATCAATTCAACAGCTGACTGACTCCAGGCAGTTTATATGCTATGTGCACACATACCAATCCCATTCTTAATCAACAGAATGTGGCTGCTGTGGCAGATAATGCAGCTTGAGAACTGTGTGGTGAATAACAGCCCATTCTCCAAGCCATGCTCCTTAAGCTGTGTTATTACAGTCTGTAGCACGCTGACTGCATTATAAATACTGACCCTTTTAGTTCCCTCACCTTACATGTGGTGGTTACAAATGCTCTTATGCAGCAGTAAAGAATAATTCAGCTACAATGTGCTGTATATATATTTATTTATGTGACAGGTGACCCCTAGAGTTGAGTTCTTGTAACAGTATGTGTGGAAAAAAAGCAGACGAGCCCCCTTCCCTCATTACACTCAATGACCAACGCATAAGGAGCAAGTGCAATAATGCATTTTATGTGCCTTGTGGGAATAATCTGGCTGCTGGTCAAAATGTCTAGAACCCACTGGCAAACAATACTGGGAATCCTTTGGTATTAACAACAGTGTCTACAGCCATGCTGGCAGCTCCATGAGGCTGTCTAATGTTAGCATGCTAACAACATGCTAACAATTACAGTCAACATACTGATGTTTACCAGATGATGTTTACAGTCTTAACCAAATTCACATGTTAGCATGCTAACATTTGGTAATTAACACTAAGCACAACGTATAACTAAAAGTACTATATAAATTAAACTTTTTAACTAAAGATAGCACTAATGTGATATTCAGGGAATCACCAAAGTTATTTCAATTTCAACTCTAGGAGCACGAATGTCTGTACCAGATTTCATGGCAATACATCTAATAGTCAGGCAAAAGAAAAAACTACACTACACATGACTTACCTTCATGTGAATTAAGATAAATCTAGGTCATACAGCTTTTTTGCTGTGAATAGTAATCGTAATTACTTTCACCTGCTGATTAGTCAGTATTTTTTTTACTGTTATATTGTACATGCAAGATGTGTGGTAGACAGAGAATTCAGGCTTCGCACCGTAGCAGTTCTAAATTAAAAAAATGTCCAGCCTCAGTGGCACATATGATCTATGGTTTCATTGCTGCTACTCCCATGCAAAGAAACAGATACACCCATAGATTATTACAATGGCATGTAACAGACTGCAGGTTAAACACCATACTGCCTGAACAAGTCCATACAGAACAAACACAAAAGTAACAGGCAACCACACCCATGCCATGTCACAATACACACACAGCCTGAAGAAGGGAGGGCCCACTCCTTCTACTTCACATGATGACTAATGTCACCATTTGCTTCACAATGTTTGTCTGCTTATCAAAACAAAACACACTTTCCAATTATACCACTAATTCATATTTCCAGTGCAGGCTGGTTGCTGTATATCCATTGTCCTTCACATATTTCGGGAGTCAATTTGGAGCTTCAGGGAACAATGCTGCACACCTGCTCCCCTTCACCAAACAATTTCCTCCAACTGCTCTTCCTCAAAACAATCAGCTGAAAGTATATTTACCCCTTAAGCTATGCATTTCTAATTCATGCCATGCCAATAGGGAGGGAGGAGAACGGGAAGATCTGGAGTGAAAACTGTGCAATATGGAGACAACCTGCCATGTCCCTCCTCTGCAGTG